CATGGCTTTCTGCTCTTAGGGCTGGAAAACATAACGCTCCCATGTGATTTGAGCTTGTGGTTGAGACACATGAGGAAAAGGGCTGAAGAATGAGCCAAGAGCAAAGTGGTCCTATTAAGCTGTAACACTTGAAATAGGAAGGGACTCAAGCTGAGCTCCACCTTTATACTTAAATATAATATTGCAGGCTCTCAAAATAAGAGGCTGGGCATGGGGTGCTTTTGTGTAGGTACTGCCTGCCCCATGGAGCTGAAAATCTTGGCGCAGAAGCAGAGAGGGTCATAGAGAGGTGGGAACAAGTTTGGCCAACATGGTTGACATCAACTACAGTGGCCCAACAGTCTGACAGCTGTCAATCAATTAGGACTTCAGAGCATGGGGAAGAGATTTGGCATGGTGGCAAAGTATGGGATGCATACCAAGAATGTCCTCATGGGAATGAGGCAGTTTGGAAGAAGGTGTGGAACAGGCAGGCAATGATCGGGGAGTCAGGTCTGTCAAGGTATTATTAACTGTTGGAAGTGACTGAAAGATTGTAGTTGTGTTGGGCTGTGTTTCAAGTTTAGTCTCTCTCTGGTTTTGCTGCAAAAACTGTTTTGCTCTTTATGAGTATCTAAGTACTCCTTCAGATCTGCCAAAATAATACATGCAGGCAAGAGCTGTTTTCTCTCTGACTCTGAATATTGAATAATTTTACACAAAGAGTGTCAGGTTGAGTTGAGTCCCATTGAGTCTTTAGTGTCCTTGGCCAGTGTGCACCCCTTCTGAGTCACATTCAAAGGAGGACTCGCCCATCTTTTCCCCTTCCCTTTCTTTGTGTTTTGAGCTGTGTGGTGGATGTTTGCTCAATAAACAATGTTTGAAGTCGGTTGTCTCCAGGTATCTGTGTTGACTGAAACCACTGTACTGTGGCAGAGAGTGCAAACAGAGCAGCTTAGTAGATTCTGTTCTGGTTCACGTGAAGCCCTCAAACACGTCTCGTGAGGATTTCCTTAGTGACAGATCAGTGTATGCTTGAAGGAGTCTGACACTATGTGATTGTTTCTTTTTTAATCACCGTTATTTTCCTAAAATACAAGATTGGCTTATTTGAATGTACAAAAGACAAGTAAAAGAATCTTGCACCAATTAGGCTGGAAAGCTTGTTATTCAGATATTCAATTCTAATTCTACACCTTGTACTTTCCTGGGAACATCCTGCTTGGACATTCAGCATGTCCTGGATGATTGCAGAGTGGTCCTTCAGGACATCCAACAGCACTCAGCGCTGAACCGTGAGGGCTGGGAATGTGGTGACAAACACTTAAGGAAGAGGGGAGATATGATTCTGTGGTTTACTTTATTATTTACCAAATGACTTGCATTCATGCTGAAAATTGGTATACTAGCTTCAGCCTATGGTAATGCCCTGACAGTATCAGATAGAAATTTCCAGTGGTTTTGGGTGATACCTTTTCCCTTGAATTGTGGTTCTATACAACAAAAATAGTGTAATCTCAAGTTTTGTGCTTGGATATTTTGCTCTTTCCAATGGGTGAATCTGCATCCATTTCAGTGCCTGCATTCTCTTTCCTATAATGTTAATTAATGAATTCAGTCTGATTTTGCTGGGAGCTGTAAAACTTACTCTTGATGCTTGGTAGGAAAGTTCAATTAATCCAGACTTCGGTGCCAATTGAAAGTCTACCAGTCTGTGGCCATACAAAATCCCTCCATGATTTTTGTAAACCAAGTGATGAGACCAGACCAAACCCAGCTTCAGCCTGTGATGCAGTTGTTGCTGGATGAAGTGTTGAAGTGCCAGTTGGACCATGTTATTTACTGGTAAGGCTGCCCTATGTCTTTTGAAGAATTACTGAAACTCCTCAGAAAAAGGGAAAATAAATTTCCCACCTCTTTTTTGAAAGACCAAAATACCTTCCATAGAACACAGAGGTATCTCAAGGAGATCTTGTAGCTGCTTTGCTTGCATTCGTCATCAAAACACGCCTCTCGAATATCTTGTTCTTTACTCCTTTGGGAGTGTACTGCAGTTCGGAGGCAGATGGAGACAACGAAGAGATTTGTTGTAATGTGGGTAATGTGGTGCAGCAGGATGTCAGGCACAGTTCATCTTAGCATGGCTCTGTGGACAAGGTCACAGACTGTGCAATGGTCAGAAAGAGGGAGTGATGCCAAACAAATCATAAAACAGCATGAGTTGGAAAGATCCATGGAGTCTAACAACTGGTTCTGCACAGGAGCACCTGAATATCAGACCATAGACCAAAATATATGAGGAATAATTACAGCAGTTGGGAAGTAGGAGGGAAAGCCATTTGTATGAGCACAGTGTTGGTCTGTTTGGATAAAAAAACCTCATTTGTATATATATTTCTTGGGTAGAAGTTCAAAGAGAGATGGGAAAAATTCCAGGCTGTTTGCTGGCTTGCATTGTCCAATACCTGTTTTCAACTAAATCATCACAACTACCTTAAACTATCTTTACATCTTATCCTGAGCCTGGTTTGCTTTGGGAATAAACAGTGATGATTCTTCATTGCCTTTGTTCACTTAATTGGAACGTGCTGGAACCACTTTGGCCTGCGTAAGAATTAGCAAATTTTTTCTGGCATAAGTTAACTCCTGTTCAGTGACTTGTGGTCAGGTACTCACACAGAACTTTGCTGAAAGGCCAGGCAGGCAGCAGTCTCTGTTTGGAAGGGTAATCTTTGTACTAGTGTTACATTAAACGCAACTTCAGGCTTTGATGGATCCATCTGATGGACTTTGCCTCTCATGAACCTCAACTGCCTCACAAAAACCCTAGTTGTAATCTGATGTTCTCTAAATGGAATTAGAGGAGAACAGAGTCTATGGCATGTGAATGGGCCTGAAGGATGCTGGAGGGCTCAGTGTTGAGCTCGTTGGCATAGCTCAGTGTCTTCAGCCTCGTTAGAAGAGTTGTACAACCCAAGCAAGTTGGCAGATCTACTTAACAAGAATTATGCTTTTTGACAGACTCTGTGGCTTTGTTTCTGAGTGATGCAGATAGTAGTTTTGAAGGGAAAACTGATCTCCAATTCCCCTTCATATTCACATCCAGCTTCCCTTTAAAACCTGTCCATTTTCTTGTCCCTGCAGCATACGTCAAAGTGCTGCTTCAGGACCCTGGTGCCTGGGAGCTGCAACTTCTGCCCTGAAACAACTTGGCTTGTTTTGATATATTTTCATGCTGATGCCAATTTTTTTTGTCTGAATAGGCTTCCTTGCTTTGCTGTATTTACTACTCTGCCATATTTCTACAGGGAAAGCTGAATGTTTTTCTGTCTTCTCTTGAAAGACTGAAATTCCCATCTCTCCTACCCACTGAATGAGGCACATTGCTCTACCATGGCCCTGGAGAGGGAGGGTCAGTGATGCTTCCCTGGTTCTCTGGGCTGTATCTGTCATGACATAGGACTGCACTTCAGCAAAAGGAATTTGTATCTTCCCACGTTGCTCCCTTCAGCATCTTTGAAGAAGTACCTTTCTATCTCTCTTTCCACTAGATAGATGATTCTTGCTTCATTTCACCTGGCTTCCTTACCCACAATCGTTCAGTAGGGCTGGTTAATGAAGTGTGGCAGTGCAAAGAAGTGTCCTGTGCATGGCCATCTCTACAAGGACTTGCCTGCCTGAGCTCTGCAATTATGTGATTTTAATTGGCTTTTAATTTGGGGAGATTATTTCTTATACTTAAATGAAAGCCACAGAGGTGTCATTAATATGTAGGTTAGAAATTGGAGGGGAAAAGAAAAAAGTGACTGAATTGCTTCTGAGCTCATAAAGGAAAATTCACATTTACTTTCCCATGTATTTAATGTGAAATATACCAGAAAGTCCATAATTAGAAAATTATAAGGATTTAAACCTATATTGCAAAAATACATTTCTGTGGCTCTGGAGGTTGCAAACATGCTTTCCGTTTAGAGCTGTATGTTGCATTTATGCTGATTTAATCATTCATTAAACATTAGTAAGAGGCCAATTATGCTGTTCAAGAATAAGATGTTTTACGAGAAAATGACAAAAAGATACATGTAATCATTGAAATGCCAGTTTACAATCAGATAGGATGGGAAATAATCCCTTTAGCAAGCTTAAGCTTTTACATATTAATGGCAACATTGGGGAGAGTGGAAAGAGGGCTTTAACAGCCTTGCGGCCTTCTGGTCCTAATCAGAAAGTGAGTGCTTACAGTGCTCTGGACAAAAATATAATGAACTGTTTTACTCTGTGGCAGAGACCACGTGAAATGCTTTTTAATTGTCCTTGCTGTGGCTTAAAGTGCATGTCTACTGATAGACATATAAGTATAGGTTCGAATCTCACTCTGGCTCTTGCAAGAGATGAGATGTCCTAAGAAGGGAAGGGGATACAGTCCACTGGGACACCTTCATGCTTGTATTTCTGAAGTTCCATGTCAATCATTTTGTAGAAGGAGGTGGACAGAGGGAGAACATACCTGTAAAATGGTATTATACCATTATACCATCTCTCTTCTAAGACTTGGCCACATCCAATTAAACTCTTAGGTGACAGGTTCAGAATAAACAGGAGGATGTGGTTGTTCAGACACAGTACTGCTAAGTGGTGGAACTCCTTATTGCAGAACCTGATGGATACTATGAGCTTGCATAGGTTCAAAACACAAGTAGATAAATTCATGCAAATGGGGAAGAAACCAACATTTGATGTACATCAAGCACAAAGTTCCTTTTGTTTCAAAGTTCTCAGCTGTGAATTTTTATTCACTGGGAAAAACATGTGATGTGTGTGCTAGTCTGGTTTGGGCTGCCCAAGGATGTGGTAGGTTCACCGTCCCTGGAGGTGTGCAATAACTGTGGGGATGTGGCACCGAGGGATGTGGTCAGTGGGCACGATGAGGGTGGGATAAGGTTGGCATCTTGTCTTTTCCTATCTTAATGATTATATTACTCATTAGCTTATCCTCAGCTGTTTGTTTTCTGCAGCTGTTGGTGGAGAAGGATGTAACTAATGGACCTTTGAGCTGAACCATCACGGAAAACTTATGTTTTCATATACATTAGTAAAAGACGTTTTTTAAATCTCATTTTGTGACGTTGCACAGATTCCTGTGAGAAAAATATTCAGCGTTGGTTCTCTCATATTTATGATGCATCAGAAACCTAATGAACATCCAGCAAACCATGGACTGCACATGGATGAAGACTTCTTTGGTGTGTATGAGAAGGCTGCTTCACGGCCAAGGAGCTGCAGAGGTAAGCTCAAAATGAAGAAAACAAGTCACGACTAACCACAATTGCTAGTTTTATTGTTCACATGAACTCTGCTCCCAAGTTCCTCACCTCTGAGCCCCTCTGGGTGCTTTGTGTCCTGGCATATTTTAATTGCCAGGATCGCTCAAATCTTGGAGTAAATCTTTCTTCCTCTCTGAGTGCATCTGGACCAAAGGGTGAGTAGGGTTGGGCAAAGAAAATCCACCATGATCTGAGCAAACACCCTATCGTTACAAAAAAAAAAAAAACCCACAGCCAGGAAGTCCAAAACTTTGAGGACTTGTTTGCAATGAAGAAAATAGATGTAGGACTGAGAATTTCTCAGGCAAGAGCACAGAAAACAGGGAAGCCCTGCATGAGCTGCGGGTGGGTTCCAGACAAACCAGCAAAATATCACTCCAGCTTCCCAGGGCCACGCCAAGCATTGACGCTCTTTGACCGCCTTGCCGACATGTACATCTGGCCACCCAAACATTCAGTCCTCTTTTTCCAAATCCAGTTGGTCAGCTGTGCCCGTTGCCATGCTGGCCTCTGGGCAACGGACCCGAGCAGTGCTGTTGAGAGGGAGAAAAATGTATTCCAGCGATAGTATTGAAGGGTTACTGCTGCCAAACACACTGTGTCTGTGGAAACACCTGTTGAGTAGCTGTTGCAGTGGGTAGAGCAAGATGAAGAAAGACAGCTGTAAAGGTGCCAGCAGCAGTAGGAAGCTCTACCAAGACTGCTTTGTGCCAGTTAGAGATGTGCCAAATTATTTGGCTGCATTTCAAATATCTGGGTGTCCACTACATTTGCCAGCTCGTACTCCCAGGGAATATTTCAGCATTAACACCACTACTGCCGTGCTCCCGCTGCACTTCCACTTTAATTTCGGTCTTTATGTTTCTGCGTTGTTTTTGTTTTTTATTTCTCATTCCTTTCCACATCTGTGGCATGCAGAGGAAAGCCCAGTATTGCAGTGCAGAATCCAAAATAAAGGCTGGGATCTGCAGTTGGTAGGAAGACAAAGCATCGCTGTAAAGTTCTTTTGGCCACTGGTTTGTGAGATATGCTGGCTTTTTTTTTTTCTCTTTTCTTTTTGTTTTCCTTTTCCTTTTCCTTTTTTTTTTTTTTTTTTTTTTTCCCCAGAAAATCTTAATTTTACCTTTTACAAACAATTTGCTAACCTGCACGCTTCTCCTACCCGCCCATCTTGAAATCCTTGGAACTGCAGACCTCAACTTTGGGAAGTTTGCAGTGGGAATGGGGCTGAAATTCGAAAGTTGGGCAGTTAAATTAAGGCAGAATGGCAAAACATGGAAACTCTCTGAATGTTTCATGTCTATTCTGGAGTGTTTATGTACCATCCATTGCACTGGCGATATCCACTGAGGAATGAGAGAGCTCACAGCTGGAAGGAGAATTTCTCTCTTCAAAGAAAACCTTTCATGATTTAAGAGCACTCTTTTTATAGATGAGGAATTGAGAGAAAAAAGAAAAGGAGTTGTAAAATAACAACAATTTGTTTTTGATAATCATCTTTTCCCTCAAGTGCCCAAGGAGCATAGAACCAGCCCTGCCCCTTTCCTCTTCCCCTTTCCCTGTAAGAAGACCATGCTGTAAATCCATCCACTGTTCACGACAGACCCTAGAGGTATGCCCAACATTAAGTTTCTTCTTGTTTTGAAAGCCAAAACGAACAATGAAATCTCAAATAATTGAATTCTTTCTCTAACAGTTCCTTCCCCTGCCTGGAACAAGGCTCCTGTGGTTCAATGGCTGTTTTACCTGCAGCGCAGGTAAATTCAGTGCATCCTAACTAGGATGAATTCAAGCCTAAACAACCCTGTTCCTGAATTTCTTTGTCTACGTCATGGTTTGTTCATTGCTTCGCAGGTGTGTTTAGTTCTGGTCTGGGGACTCAGGAATGGTGTTGCTGTTAGGGCTGGTTGCTGTCCCTCCCTGCAGCTTTGTTTTCTGTGCTTTTTGCAGTTTTCTACATGTTGTTTTTGGGGGGTTTTTTTTGTGTCTTCTCTTATTACACATTGTGTAGTGCATGGCTTCATTCCTGTTGTTTGTTTTAATCAACACAGAATCCTATCTGATCTAAGGTTAAATGGTTAAAATGAAAATCTTACACACACTTTTCTTTGCAACGTGGTCTTTTTCCATAATAAATCTCATTTATTAAAGAAAAACAAACCTTTGCTTTTTGAATGAGATAATGTTGCACCATACAAATTGGCAGAAACACAAATGTGTCCAGGAGAACTGGCTGTTCTTCTTTGAGCCAGCATTCCAAACACCTCTTTTTCCTATTAGACCTTTCTTTTCCCAAGCACTCATCAACCTGTTCCTCTTCTGGATGGTTTAAGTCAGGATCAATAACTGAATGCCTGACTTATTCTGATTTTACCTGCAGGTGTGTGTCAAACAGATGAGAAGCAGTTGTACTTCAGTAAGGCTTGCAAGAGTCCATGGTTCATCTTTGCTCAAAGACAATGGGGTCATCTTACAGAAATGCTGCAGCTCTCCTCTTGTCTCTGTACTAACCAGAGAGCAAAGGAAAGAGCCACTTGGTCCCTGAGCTTTCAAATGTCCAATGGATCAAGAAAACTATAGCTTACTCAAAACTCGCTGGTTGGATCTTGTAAATAATAAGAAAAGTCTCTGGCTGTTGCCTTGGCCACATCAAACTCTTCTCCAGACAACCAGAAAATGCATCTTTCCTATTAATCTTCCTGGCTTTGATGCCAGATTCATGGGTTATGGTCTGTTCATCCTGAGAAAATGTTATCTGAGTCAATATTTAGACAGAATAAGCCTTAATCACAACATAGTTATGCTTCATTAAAGAGGTTTTTCATTCACTTCATTTGGAAAATAATGCAGAATGTACCAGAAGCAAACAAATTGGGTAGATTTCCTATTCATGAAAACCTTCCTTTCGTTCCATAAAAATGAAGGGCTAATTACTTGTTCAGGAGGATTTCTTTTCTTTCTTCATAGGAGAAGCAGGAATACATTTTCATGACCTTGCTAGTGTGGATAGACTTGCCGGATAGCACCCAGTTTTCCTGTTGCTGGAGTAGACTCTGAGTGATAGACAGTTGCCCCTTAACCCTTTTCCTAGGTAGCAGGGGAGGAACAAGCCGAGGCACCTGAACATGCTGGGGCCAGCCAGCTGGGAAGAAGCTCTGCAGGATAGTACCTGGAATCATGGTGGACACCAAGTAGAACAGGAGCCAGCAGTGTGCCCTTGATGCTTTGAAGGCTGAAGATAAACTGGACTGCAGTTAGGTAAAGGATCACCAGCAAATCAAGGGAGGTGATCCTTCCCATCTACTCATATCTGGTGAGGCCACACCTGGAGGATTGTGTCCAGTTCTGGGTCTGCAGTGCAAGATAGAGATCCCAGTGTAGAGCCACCAAGGGTCTGGAGCAGCTCTGCTGTGAGTGGAGGCTCAGTGCGATCCCATCCAGGTCTGTAAGTGCCAGAAGGGAGGTGTAGAGTGGCAAGAGAGGCATTGCTGAGTGCCCTTGCAGAAGGGCAAGGCACATCCAGGTCTCGGCAGCGTGAATACAAAGAGCAGAGCGCAGGCATGGCAAATATGGCCTCAGAGCCCCTCTGCACTGCCATGTGGCTGTATTACCATAGTAACTGACCATTCAGCTGTCCTTAATGTATTTCTTTATCCTCGTAACATCCTGGCAAGGTGAAAATGTGTTTTTGTCTCCATGTAGCAGGCTGTGTGCAGTGGCTCACCCAAGGGGACACAAGCAATGCTGTTGCTCCTCTTGAAGTCTAGAACAGCATAGAAATACCAACGCTTTCCCTCTTTCCCACTGTAAGGAAATAGGTTGCAGTTCCTTCTTCCTTCTTATGCCCATAAGCTTAGACTAGGCAAGCAGTGGGGAGGCTGCAGAGAAGTCTGTCCCTTTCTCCAGGGCATGGAAGAGCAGATGATTTTGCCTGCAGTGCTCATAAAAAAAAAAAAAAATTGATTTCTTTCATCTCTTTCCTGTGCAAAGGCCAGTGCTGAGCCCAGCAGATTATTCAATAACATCCCATAAAAATATTAAACTTCTATATCGGAACCAAATTAAAATTGTATTTCATGATGTGAACAAAGGTACCCAAGTTGACTTCGTCGCTCTCCCTCTCCTTTTTCAAATTTAATATCACACAGAAGAGAGAAATGAAATCTGTATTTAAATGACTGTGGAACACTGTGCATTTAAAGTGCACAGCAAGTCACTCCCTAAAGCACTCCATATGATATGTAAATCTTTTGATCTTTCACAAAATGCATGAGTTCCATAAAGAATAATGAGTACTAGCTTGGGAAGTACAATATTGACTGTCACTGTAGTGCACTTAGCCACAATTATTATTTGCATGGCTTTTGCAACATAACTGGAGGGGAGAGTCCTGTGAATATTTTTAATGCATTCTAATAGCTGCTAAAAGAGATTTTATTTTATAATAGATGCATTCTTTCTTTTGGGTCTACAAGCATTTTTTTCAATTTATGCATTACTTTTTTTTTTTTTTTTACTCTTTATAAAAAAGCATCTATGGGGAAAAGCAGAGGAGCATACAAGTCCTGAGGATAGAAACAATTGAGGTCCGTTAGCTGCAACGAAGCAGGGAAATTGTCAATGTTTATTTATTCTTTCAGCCAGTCAGAAATGTTTAACTTTATCGATGATCTTAAAAGTGATCTCCCTGAGGAATCTTGAAGTGATGCACTCTCTGAGATGCATTTTGGACAGGCCAAGGTGTAAATGTATGCAGATTTCCTTAGGATCCGTTTTTCACTTGCAGCTGAGGTTGGCAGAGTCTTCGGCACCAATCCAGCACGTTGCTCCTGAGTTTCACCATGGGAAGGATTTCAGAGCCTGGATCTGGTGACAGTGGGGGCTTATTAGCTGTGGGGAAGGAGAAGCTGAGCTTTACAGTCTGCGTGCTGAGCCTTTTCCATGTTTTTTCCCAGCTTTCCAGTGATGCATGCAGTCCCTCCTAGAGATGGACAAGCAAACCCTGCCTTCCAGAACCAAGGTTTCTCTCTCTGGGATACCAGCACCTTGTATGTCCACCCAGAAGATGCAAAGACTATAAGCTCACAGCATGGGAGAATGGGGTAAGAATAACAGTTGGAACCATGGCAAAAACCATAAATGAAATATAATTAGCTTATTACTATTAATGCTTTCTGGCTTCCTCCCTGAAGCTCTTAATGCCTGTCTCAAGGTCTTTTTGAAGTAGTTTGATGTATTTATTACCTGCCCTGCTATGAAGCTTGGAAGCAGCTTGTTTCATAGAACCTTTCCTCCTATCGGGGAGCGGTGATTCCTAACCGTTCGTATTGATCTGCTCTCAGGGTCTGGTTTATCAGGCCAAGTAACTTTCTGCTGTTTTTGGCCTCATTTCTCTGACTGTAGAATGACCATAGTGACATTTTCTTTCTTTGTAATAGCACTTTTAGGGCCTGAGAAGAAAATGTTGTAATCATAGTCATATGTTGTAATCAAAGTCATAGCTAAACAGTAATAGGGCATTGCAATAGGGAGCTGCTCCTCTGATTTGAATGAGGCTTCCAGAGGTCAAGGAAGTGAAGCAGTGAAGGACACTTTGTGAGCCCAGTGCAGAAAAAAAAAGAAAAGAAAGCACATTTTTACCCAAAATTGAATGTATGATTTTATTTTTTCAGCCTTTTCCAACTATACCACAACTTACACAGGGTACAGGACTTGAAAAATTTCTTCTGTCAATGGCAAGAATACATAAAAATCCCTTTGTTTGAGTCAGACACATCTTTGGGGCACACCATTCTTATTTTTGTAGTGCTCTTATTCTTACAGGTTTCAATCCTTCTCAATGCTGTATATTCAATAGATTTTTTTAAAACACAGAAGATGGTATAGACCTTGCCAGTTGAATTCTTTCCAGTTTCTCTTCTTGGTGTTGAATTTTCCTACTTTTTGTTGTATGACTTTTAGTTTCCCACTTTAGAAACATTGTTCCATTCACAAGCCCATCTAACGATCAGAAACAGCCAGTGGAGTTTAGGTTGAATGACCATATTGCTGTCTGTTGCTTTCAGGTCTTTCTTTTTAAATCCCTTTTCTTCCACATCATTCCAAAAAAGAATTCCTCTGTGGGAACATTTATTAGAAACAAGCTGCACCAATTCCCCAAAAATCTACAGAACTTGTTTACCTGTTAAGACTTGTAGTAATTTTCCATAACAATATTGCCATTTATTATGCTCTGGAAAGGCACTATAAAGGCACTTTCAAGAGGAGAAAACCAAGAAAGATTATTCATTTCACATCCTCATGCAATTCTTTTGTAGGTGGCTTTCAACAAAGGGTGATATTGGATTACATTCATTTTGGTTCTTAATAAACTAGTAAATCTCCCATTGTTCTATGTTGTCCAATTATAAAAGCAATGAATATGAGACTAAGCACTTCAAGATAACCATAGCTTTAAAGATAGACAAAAAGCTTTATAGATTAGGATCAGAATAAAACTGCCATTTTTGTAGCGTTTTGATGAACAATATTTTGTGAATTAAAGCTTTCTCTCCTAGGAATGTCAATAAATTACTCTTTAAGTAGAAACCACTGCAAACCTCAGGAAGAGTTTCCTAATATCTATGCTGCTGAAAAGGGAAGGAAGTAAATCCTTCCTAGAAGTCATTTCCTTGCTGTCTGAAGAGGTGATTATGGGGGGTATTTCTTGAGGTCTGTTTGCCTGTAGGAGTGTGATCTGTTGGGAGTTTCTTCCTGAATCATTTGCCTCCTGTTTAGGATATGCTACCTTTTTACACGTGCTTCTTAGCTGTACTATGTTCCAAGAATGGATCCTTCAGCACTTTAGAAATGCTTAATTGGCTATAAAAGCTGTCATTAGCATTTTGAAGGCAGAATTTGGGTATTTTCTTGTTCATAAGGAAGGGTTTCCAAAGTGGAAAGAACTGCTTCTGAGGGGTCTCTAGAGGTAATGAATTAAAACAGTATTGGCAACTGTTTTAAATACACTGGGCAGAGGCTGGACCATTTTAGTAAAATTTTAAGCATTGGAGGTTAGGGAAAAAAGAACTCTAAGCCTCAAAGTGTTCAATGAAGTCATGAGCTGGGATCATTGCCTTATTCAACTCTGTAAGAATTCATATCTTGCTTATAGAAACATCTATTAATCTACTGATTAGCATCAGATTCTTTGTCAGCACATCCTTAATGGAAAGTAGAGCGCTCCACATGCTTGGTCCTCATATTCCTAACTTGCAAACAACTTTGCAAAATTGTCACGTGGCATGACTTAGAGCTGTGAATTTGTCCATTGGCAGAGGGGAACCAATGACATATGGCCCTCTCTGATGGTGACACAGGGTAAACATCCCACCCAGTTGCTCATCCTGGTTGTATGCTAAGGCACAACATAAGAATATACATATATAGAGGCCAGTTTGATAGAGGGGAAAACAGGTCATGAGAGATGTGAAATGAGGCACCTGGGCAGAGGTGGGGAACATCTAGGTGTCAGAGCCCAGGTTCATGCCTTTGTATCATCCACGGAAAGGTCCATTGCCCATCTATACCCTTGGCTTGGGCTGGGATGAATTTTTGCATCATAAACCTACTACAGCCCCAGAGAGAACATGAACTGCATCTCTGAATGCAGTATGGAAGGGACACTGTGCTTGCCAAGAGTGGCAGCAGTATTAGCAAGCTCAAAGGAGAAACAAAAACAGAAGAGAAGATGCTTCCCCGCAGTCAATCCTCTCCTCACTCACGTACCCTCTCACTGTTTCCCAGAATTTCAAGCACTATTGTCTCTTCTCGGATGGCTCTTCAACTGGAGAGATAGCTGCTGGGTAAAAATAATTCTTTAGCTCAGGATTGTCAGTCCCATCATGGGACCGTGCCTGAAAACACAATCACACTTTTTGATCAGTTCTGCTGTAACAACCTGTTGTCTTTTATAATAACATTTCCATTGGGAATATTCAGATGCAGAGTCTAAAAAGAACCATTTCATAGCACACAGGCAACTACATACGCAGTGACTTTGCATTCTTATCTTTTTGATTTTCCAGTGGGTGTATTTGCCTATTTCTTTTTTCAGACCGCATCCATCTGCTTCGCCGTTCCTACAAAAGCTAGTTTACATGCAATAATTGCCATTAAAAATGTGGGGGAAAAGCTCATTGCACAAATACATTGCTTTGCTCCTTCTAAAACCCACAGAAGCTACAAAACCGCACGAGGTTGATTGATGGATGGCTTTATTTAATTATTACTTTCAGAAACATGTTCTCTATCTTACTTATAGCAGGTGCAGGCTGTGACGTGGCATTTGCTCTGGTAATTATGCAGGTTTTTCTTGTAAATAGCAGAACAAGTCAGGATGAAAGATAGCGCTGCCCTCAGGTTGTGGGAAATTATTCAGCTTTCTCTTTACCAAATTTCAAATGATACGTGTAAATGATAAGGTCGCTTTGATTCCTGCTGCACCTCCCACCCCCAGTTCTTTACTCCTGTGGCATAAAACTGGAAGAGAGGGAGGGAGTGGGGCTGGAGGTGGATGTGTGGAAGGGGCAGCTTGTGCTGTGGCTTGTGATGAGCGTTGTTATTGCAGTGTGGGAGGAGAGCGAGTGAGAAAGCTGGCTCGAGTGCCATGCACTGTGGTATAGAATTAGAAAGACTTTGGAGAGGGAGAGTTGAAGTGGCCTTTTAGTAGGGCTGGTGCTTTTCAATGCGGGGCGGTGCAGCCAACCTCCCAGCCATGTGCCCACTGGCTGCCTATGTCAGGTCTCCTCACATATCCTCCACCCTGTGTTTCTTCCTCTTCTTTGTGTCTGTCTGAAGGAGTAGGTGCTTGGATTTTCTCCATTCTCCACCTCCCTATCCCATGTTTCTTTGTCTACATGAGGGATAAATAGCAGGCGCCATGCTGGATGTACTCAAATCCATCCCAACAAAAAATGCCAAGGTGAACATTCCCCAATCACCAGGAGATCCTGCCACAGGGAAATGGGGCCTCCAAAGAGCCACTGTCATCCTCAGCCCGTAAACTCTTCCTTGAACTTTTCCTTCCCTTGGAAGGAATGTATGGTTGATTGGCTCATTGCTGTCTGCTATGTCAAGATTTGGCTCTAGGGCTACAAAGGAGCCACTTCCATGTTGATTTATGATAAAAATTCAACAACTAAATCCTCTTCGTTTGCAGCAGAGTTGAGATTGCATGCCTCCCAATGGCTTGTGCAATGCAAGGATGTATAAAAACTCCAGGCAGCATTTCCAAACTCGAGTGCCTCAAGTTTTCCACCAGGGTCAGCATTTTCAAAGAGTCACAGGGTCACTAAGGCTGGAAAAGATCTCCAAGATCTCCAAGCCCAACCTCAGCCTCTCCCACTGCCCACGTCCCTCAGTGCCACATCACAGTTCTGGAGCATCTCCAAGGGATGGTGACCCCACAACTCTCTGGGCAGCCTGTTGTGGACTCTTTGGACTTCTCACTTTGGTCCTTTTGAAATGCAAATCTTTGACTACTCAATTTGGTCCCATCCAAATGCGGACCTTGGGTCTGCAGCCACAGCCAGATGATTTGGCACCTGCATCTCCATTCTGCTGTGAGCTGCCTGATGTTTTACCAGATGTACTGAACACTTGCACTTTCCACTGAAATCAAGAGGAACTGATGGTGTTTGGCACCTACTGAAAGCACAGCCTTGCTACTGAGGGCAGTGTGTAAATAACAGTTCTGTAATAGGCACCCTCTGGAAATGTTACCTTCTCTGCTCTATAGCAAGTGTGCAATGAAATGAGAACGAACCTGACAATGAAAAATGTGCATTAGTTTATATAAGAGCTTAGCTGAACAAGACAGTATTTCAATGGAAGGTGCAGAGGATGTATATGAATGAGAAGCAGTTGATTGTTACCGTGTGTCTATCAAAAAGAAAATAAGGTCATTCACAAATCTTAACATATTATGGAAGGGAGGAATATTTTTTTTAATTAGGATTAAAAATATTATCTACTTAAAATGTGCCCATGCATATAGTCCTGGCATAGCCTATGGCAACACCTATAATTTTAACATAAAACTGTTTTTTCGAAGAAGGAAGTA